AACAGCGGTGTGCGCATTGGTTCATTAATTGTGGCACATGTGTTACCCTAGCAGCTGTGTTCATCAGGGTCCTCTATGGGAAAGAGCTCCCAGGAGAGCCGAGGTGTTGGCAGGCAGGACAGAGACATGGATTTACTATGAGGAACGCACTCGGCAACCTGCAGACCCGCGAGAGCTGAGGGTGTGAGTTCCAGTCTGAACGCCGGCAGGCAGGAAACTCAGGGGGAGCTGGTGTTTCAGGTCTTGGAGACAGGAGGGGTTTCCTCTTATTCATGGGACGGCCAGTCTGTTTGTTTTTTTCATGTCATCCACTGCTTATATGCGGCCCACCCACTCTGGGGTGGACGGTGTGCTCGTCAGCCCATCGACCCAGTTACTCACCCAGAAACAGCCTCACAGACATGCCTGCCCAGAGTGATCTTTGACCAGACATCTGGGTGACCATGGCCCAGCCAAGGTGACACATAAAGTGACCATCCCACCAATGTAAGATGTGACAATAGGGGAAACTGGGTGTGTGTTATATGGGAACTGTCTGTGTGAGCTTCAGAATTTTGCTGTAAATCTGTTCTTAAAAAATTCATTTCTAAAAATGCCATAAAGTTTTGAAGGAAGAAAGATTGTCTTGCTGGCCTTGAAGTAGCAAGCAGCACGCTGTGAGTTACTTATCAGGGGCCACGTGGCAAGGAGCTCAGGGTGCTCCCCACCCGGCGACGGCCAGAAGCAGGACTTTGGCTGAATCGTGCCAACAAGGTGTGATCCTGAGCCTCAGGTGGGAACCGTGGCCCCAGGAAGCCTTGACGTCAGCGGGAGACACTGAGCAAAGGACGCCGACCCACAGGACACCGAGATAATGAGTGTGCTGTCCCAAGCAGCTACGTTCATGGTCATTTGTCACACAGCAGGAGACACTGATGTATCAGGTGACAGTAGAGTGCACAGTTTCCTGCTGGTACAAATAACAGAAAATATTCCTGCTATTATGATCAATGGCACATCTGGGTCACATCGGACACCATCTGCTATAGTTAATGAAACATCAAAGAAAAAAATGGAACAAAGTCTTGCCCAAGGTGAAAGGGCAAAGAGCTAATGGGCTTCTCTCCTGGCAGCTTTGCCCACTGCATCAGGCTCGCGTGTGTGCACAGGTGTGCGTGTGTGCGTGTGGAGAGGCAGGTGTGCGTGTGTGCATGTGTGCACAGGTGTGCGTGTGTGCGTGTGGAGAGGGAGGTGTGGGGGGCTATTGTAAGGAGCGGACTCATGCGATTGTGGAGCCTGACAAGTTCAAAATCTGCAGCAGCTGGCTGGAGGCCCAAGAAGAGCTGGTGCTGCCACTGGCGCCACAGGCATCTGCGGCGAGACCCCTTCTTGCTCTGGGAGGCCTTCGAACGATTGCACGGGGCCCACCCACACTGCAGGGTGACCTGCTTCACTCAGTCCGCTGGCTTAGAGGCTGGTCTCTTCCAAAACTCACCTTCACAGAAACATCCAGAACGGTGTCTGGCCAAGCCTCTGGGCGTCATGGCCCAGCCAAGGCGACACATAAAATTGACCAACAAAACTGCCAGGGTTGTGACAATGGCACTAGAGAATTCTCCCGGGCACGCTCCCTGTGCCGAGGGCCTGAGCTTCAGGGTGGGAGGCGCGGGGTGGGGGGGCGAGTGAGGAAGGAGCAGCAGGGCCCAGGGGCTCCCCCCACGAGCCCCAAAGTGTCAGTAAATCCTGCTCAACTCAAAGAATACTTAGTGGAAGTATGTTTTTGTAGTTAGAAGAAAGGGGCTGGGTTAAGTGGCCGTTTCGTTTTGAATGAAACCGTGTGAACCCTCAGGTTCTCATGTGACATGAACATGGCCCTCAAACTTGAATTCCCAGGGGCGGACTTGTTAGATCAGCCAACAGGGACACCCCAGAGCTTCTAAGAAATTTGTAGCAGGGTCCCTCCCAGTGACGCTGATACTGCTGGTCCAGGGACCACACTTTTGAGAACCGCTGTTATGGGATGAAAATAGATTTTAAGTGCAGTAAAGTCGTATGCAAACGTTTGCGTGCACGTGCATTTTTCTGCGTCCCTGACGCTACGAAGCTGCAGAGGCGTGCGGCCCCTCAGTTGCTCTCTGCCTTCCCCAGCAGCTCCTGTGCTTCCCAGAGCAGACACAGGGTGGCGCCGTGTGCCCACAGTGGGCACCCAGGCCTTTCGATGGCTTTGCAGCTTTGCAAGGGCGGGTGTGCACTGTAGCGCTCCGCTCCTTTTCCCCTAATTCCCGACACAGGCGGGATGGGCCATGGATACGCGCCGGTGTGGGTGGAGGAAGAGCTCTGCCCCCCGGTGCCCATGACAGCTCATCTGGATGTTACCCCTGCCCAGGCCCGGCCAGGACGGCTTGGCCGGCCCTTACCCTGGGCGCTGCTCCCTCCCCAAGCCTCAGGTGGGTGCGCCCCGTGTTCAGGGGGCCCTCACCCCCACCCTGCACCCTCAGGGCCTTTCACTGCCTTATCCAATGTGACCCCACGTGGCTGCCACCGCTTCTCCATGTGACGCATGGTTTCCTTCCAGGTAACAAACGGCAGACCCCAGTGGGGGAAGAAGTCCAGAACACAGGTTGCCCTGTCGGGGCCTCTTGTGGCCCTGGGGGTGCTGATAGGACAGGCAGTGCCAGCTCCCACCTCTGGCAGCCTCCGTGTGAGGTGTGGGTGGCAGGGGCCCGTGTAGGGTTTGGTTTGAACGCATGGTTCTGGGGACTTCACACCAGGCTGAGGTGAGGCCTGCAGCTCCCTGCTGAGAGAACAGGGACCCAGGAGGGCCAGCTCGGGAAGGCGGGCAAGGTCAGAGCTGGTGTGGCCGTCCAGGCTGGAGGGCGAGGCTGCTGCCCTGGAGGGCAGCCGTCCCTGGGGGCCTCCCTGACCGCTGCCCCCTACCCGCCCAAGCCGGGAAGGGTGAGGAAGGAGCCCCCCTCAGCCAGGCCTCGGTGATTGATCCTCTAATCCACAGCCTTATCCCACCTGGCCCCCAAAGCTATAATTAAAGCTGCAGGAGGAAGGGATTATTGTGGAGGGGGGCAGAGCCGCTGGGCTGTGGCCCCAGCATGGCTGGAGATAACATTCACGACTCAGGACGCTCCCTCCCCGGCCTCCTCCGGCTTTTGGATCCCCTGGGAAGCCAAGTCCCCTGGGCCATTGGCTGTGGGGAGGGGCCCAGGAGCAAGTCCCACCATCAGAACAAATGTGGTGTCCAGGGAAGAACAAAGGCAAATCATGTCCCTCGTGCAATGTGGTCACATCGAGTCACCGCTTCTAACAGGCTGACGGGCATGATTGTCCCTGGTGACAGTGCGACCACGCTGAGTCTGGGGTCAGGGACCAATGTGGTCAGACGTCTGCCGCTTCTCGGCTCCTGGGCCGGCACCCGTGCAGATCTGGTCTGGGGGCACCTAAATAGCACACTCTGGGCTGTGGCCTCTGTCGCTGTCAACGACAGTCTCTGAGGTCGGGGCTGGTGATGATAGCTTGCACTAGTCTATCGTGTCCGACTCAGCTTTGTGTCCCTCAAGGCTAAGCCAGTGCCTGACAGCAAGGGGAACGCCATCCGTCCCCATCCACTCGTCAGCACTGATGGAGAATCTGCGAAGCCCAGCGCTGCCCCAAACACTCAGGGCTGAGTGCGACCGGCTGCCCAGCTGCCAGAGAGTCAGCCAGAGGCCCGAGGAGACGCCAAGGGAACAGGCCTGAACAGTGTGACGGGCGGAGGGACAGGCTGTGCGGGAGACGTGCCAGCATGGGGTGTCTGGCTAAAAGCCCGTGCAGGGGTGCAGGGGTGCAGGGCAGGCAGGAGCGGGACCCTCGGGCCACAGAGCCAGGGACACCGAGCAGAGGCAGCAAGGAGCCCCGATGGCTTCCCGTGGCTGCAGAGGACAGAAGTGGGGTGCAGTGCTGGCTGTGGGCTGGACGTGCAGTGAGTACCAGAAGAAGACAAGGGTGGTGCTCAGACATGTGGCCCAAGAGCTGGGTGGACAGACTGCAGGACCGCGAGGACTAGACCACAGGTGTGGGTGCAGGTCAGTGTCAATGCACCCTCAGTATCATAATTGGTAAGGAGCAGCTGGGGTGTCCAGGCTGGTGAGGTCTGTGCAGGGTGGGTGGACAGACTGCCAAGGTGCTGGGGCTGTTGGGGGCAGGCAGGGTCCAGGTGGGGGGTGGGAGGAGGAAAGCCAGTGGCTCAGCATCCAGCAACCAGGAGAGACGTTGGGGACTGGACCTTGGCGTCTGACAGGGGGGTTTGGGGGCTCTTCCGGAGGACAGGGACTGTGGCTGGGCAGTGGGTCTCAACTGGTCACTTCCATTCTCAGGGAAATCAGTTTGCACAGAGAGGTGTAAACAGGCTCCCAGGGGCAGGAAAACATGTTTACTGATAAATGTTTGCTGTGGGAAGGATGGACACTCAGCAACCCCGTGGGTGAGGAGAGATGGGCGGGCACGCTCTGAGCTCGCAGCGTGTGGGCCAGGAGCTGCACCTGCACCTGTGTGCCCGGCCAGAGCTGGCTCTCGGGAAGGTGTCCTGTCCGTCCATGGTACACTGTGAAGGTCGCCCACCACTCAGGAACAGGAGTTAGTGATGGGGCTGTGCCAGGCGGCGCGGGGCTCAGGCCATCTGGCTGCTCCACCAGTGAGACAAAGCCAGGCGCCCAGCCCGGAGGCCTGGTTGGAAATTTGCAGCGGCCATCCATGGTGCTGCCCGCTCACACCCCGGTCCTGCAGGCTCGCTTTTCAATTGTCACCTTCTCCTCTAGCATTCTCAAACCCGACTTCCCCGGTCCTTGTCCTTGGTTGAGTCCCCTTCTCACCAAGAAGTGAGAGCCCTTTCTGGAGAGGGGCAAGCCTGCTGGCAACTCAAGGGGCTTGAAGCCAGCCCTCGCATGCCACAGCAGGGGACAGTGCCTGGAGTCCTTTCTGCCAAACCCTGTGACAGGAGGGGACAGCTGTAGCTTCCCCTTGAGCTATAAAAAGCCTCAATGCCCAAGCGAACAGAGGACAAACCGAGCAGACACAGGGAACCTTGCTGGTCTCAGGGAGCTTGGCCCAGCAACCATGAGGCTGGTCCCCGCAATCAGGCTGCTGCAAGCCCCCCTGAGCGGCTGGGTGGTCCCCAGAGCACACATATACGCCAAACCGGCCAAAACACCCACCTCTCCCACGGTAAGTGCCTCCAAGGCAGCGAGGGGCTGGCGGGGTGGGGTAGTCCTGAGATGTTCTTGGGACGTGGGTTTCAGGGTGGGACATGGGAGAGGGGACACGCTCTCAGGCCTGAAGCTTCTAGATGGGTCCTGGTGCTGGGTGTCAGTTCTATGGCTGAGACAGAGTCCCAACTCCAGGATAAGTGTCCCTGCAGCCACCGTCTGCAGGTCAGGGTCCCAAAGCAGCCAGCACTCCATCAGCTGGCAGGGGCTCCTGCACCCAGGGCCCCACTCGCCTTCTGGGAAATGACCGGTGCTAAGGGCTGAGCTGAGAGGGGCTGTGTCCACTGCAGCTTCCTGACCTGTTAAAGGGCTGAGGGAGCTGCTTTGGGGGTCAGCGAGACCACCTGTGAGAACAGACCTGTTACCGTCGGGCTCCCAGGAAGCAGACCACTCTACCTTCAGCATAAATAGCTGAGGTCTAGGTTATCTGCCCAAGGTCATAGGGCTCAATGACACCCAGATCTGAGCCCAGACGCAGGTCCCTGTGATCGGACAACGCTGTTCTTCAATTTCTGGGGGTTGAAGTCGGAGGCAAGGATTAGCCTCCCACCTGGCACCTGATTAGCGTTAGGAAACAGGGAAGGGGCAGAGGGCCCAGGCTCAGAACCACACGTCGTCCCCCCAGGCTTCTGAACAGGACCATGTAGAGAAAGGCCCGTCGTCTGCCATCCGGCACGACTGACATACACATCGTGCCCTGGGAAGGCAGTCAAGGTCAGGACGGCCAGGCGGGCTGGGGCAGGAGGCCCCGCCCACAGGCTGGAGCCGGCCGCCCCCTCTGACCACCGCTTCCTCCAGCTGAGTGGAAGGGGCGGGGCAGCCCGTGTCCAGCTTGGGCTGAGCCCCGCAGCCCAGGGCAGGCCCCAGGAGACTCATGTGTGCTCCCCTCACCCAGGAGCAAGCCGTGGCGCTGAGCGTGACGTTCCTCAGCTTCCTGATCCCTGCGGGCTGGGTCCTGTCCCACCTGGAGAGCTACAAGAAGTCTGCCGCATGAAGGCTGTGCTTCCGCCACCCAAGACACGCATGGGGAGGGGGTCACATTAAAGCTCTCCCCCAACCTGAGACTCCTTGGTGATTCTTCTCTCGTGCACCCCCAACCCGACTCACAGCACAGGGCCGGCTTGTGTCAGCGCCGGGGCACTCAGGTCGCGGGAGCTGCCGGCTAGGTGTCAAGTGAGTGACAAGGGTAGGACTTGTGTCCTTGGCCCTCCGCGCCCGGCTGTGGCCAGCCCAACACGGGGCACCCAACACAGGGCATGCTTTTCTCATTCCCACCAAACCCTCCCCAGGTTCCATCTCCTGCTTTCATCTCTTTCGACGCAGGTGTGACCTGGACGCTAAGCCAGAGGAACCACCACAGGCAGGACAAAGCACAAGCATTTATTTTAAGAAGTCTCAATGTCACACAGGTGGGTGGAGGGATGGGCATCAGCCTCATGCACCGGGGGGCACTCCTTCCCATTCCTGAGGTGCCCACCCTCCCGCCTGCCTCACTGCCTGAGACCCAGTTTCCCGCCCCCCTGCAGGCCACAGGAGACACCCACCGAGGGGGCTTCTGCCTGTGGCCAGGCCCCTTAACCACAGTCGTGTATTCACAGCAAGAGCAGTCCCCACTCCAAGCTGACTCCCACCCCACGAGGAAACAGCCCAGCCGCAGCTGGTCGGCCCTGAGCGGCCCCGGGCTGGCCGAGGGCACTAGGTGAGGACGTCCTGGGCCTGGTGCTGCACCAGCATCTCCATGCTCTTCACGTCGCCGCACCAGGACTCCAGGCGATCTCGCATCCCCTTGATCTGTGGGCAAAGCAGGGCCACACGGGTGTTAGGACCCGCGGGGACCATTGTCCCCATGGGAGCACTGACGGGGGGAGACTGGAGCTGGGGGGCAGGTGTCAGCTCTTCCAACAGGGACACTTTATAGGCCCCGTGTGAAAGGAAGCAGGTGACAACCGGAAACGCATAGGTGGGTCTGAGCTCAAATCACAGAAGCAGGAGCATACCTGATCAGAGCACCAATTTTCAGATTAAAGGCTTTATCAGCGCAGGCAGCACTGTTGTCAGGATAAACCTTTAAACACAGGGTCAGATCCCAGGCCCGCCCACACCAGGGTCTCTGAGCCGGCAGTGCCCACAGAACTAATTTCCGCTCCAAAAGCTCTGGTATAACAACGCCATCTCCCTCAGTGGCTTCCGTCCAAAGGAAACTCAAGAGCACGGAACCCAGACACCCCCACAGCGAACCATGCACTTCAGCCACGTCACCTGCTGTAAATCCAACACGCGGGGCTGCACCCACGTCATGAGGACCCGCTTGTCCACCTCATCAATGCTGCCTTTCACCAGCCCGGCTGAGAGCGCCTTCATCACCAGCAGCTCCACCTGTGCGGAGAGGGGCCTGTTTGAGCCCGTGTGAGCCGGCATGGGCTGCTGTGAGCCCGTGTGAGCCGGCATGGGCCTCCGCGGGCTGAGTGCTTCCTTCTGTGCCTTCGAGCCCGGGCCCCTCGGGGCGGCAGTTTCGCCGCTGTAACACATGAGCCCAGAGTCCAGCGATCATACCTCATTCACACTGATTTTAGCACTTTTTGCAATTTCTTCAAAAGTGAGCTGTCTGTGATTGGCAGGTCGTGTGAAAGTCATCTGAAAAATATTTTTTGTTTATTAGCTATTTTGCCAAATAAAAACTGCCAGAGAGCTGACTGATCTGCCGGCTCTGAAAACACAGACATGCGGGCTCCACGCGGACATCTCCTAAGCACAAGCTTTCAGAATCACGTGCGACGGGGGATGAGCTTTGGGACAGTCCTGGGAGCTGGGGACACTGTGGCAAACCAAACACAAGGTCCCCTTTCTCAGAGAGCTCGGATCCCAGTGAGACATGGAGACAGGGAACGCCAGTGTGACCACGTGGCAGCTACTTCAGTTCCAGGGCTCAGGCACCTCTCCAGGGGTCAACTAAGCTGAGACCCAAACCCAAACTTAAAAGATCAAGTAGTGGCCGAGGGAAAGAAGGCCGAGGAGAGAGGCAGGCCAGGAGATGTCACCCGTTCAAGCTGTACCCCGAGGCTTGGAGGGCACGTGGGACCTGTGGGCCACCTGCAGGACCCTGAGTCATACATGGTTGGCGGTCACTCACCTCCATGAGGCACAGCAGCTGGATTTTCCTCAGCAGCTGGGCTTCGTTGGCGGCTAAGTCAGGCTGCAGGGGGGAGACACGGTTACCTGACCTGGGTGCTGACACTTTCACGACAGCGAATGAACAAGAAGCACCACACAGGCCCAAGCGTTTTGCACTGGACCACAGACGCTCACGACTGGCTTCAAGTCACCGAAACGTCATTTTCTTAGGAAATCATTAGAAAGTAGCTGAATGGCCAGGCGCCTACAAGGGGAGAGCTGTACTCATGTCACCGAGACCAGCGGCCAGGCCAGGGGGCAGGTGTGTCGGGTCCCTCTGGCACAGGAAAGGCGGGGAGGGGGTCAGGAGGCTCTCAGCTGAGCACAGAGCAAAGCAAGGGGTGGGGCCTGTGACGCGGACACAGGCGGTGCTACAGGGACGCTTGTGCACAAAGGGACCGCTGCCCCCAGATGGGCTGTGTGTGGACAGACAGCTCTGCTGCACCGCAGGCTTCCTCTCTAGTGTCTGGGGCGGCCACCTTCCTCTGAGCGGCACGGCACGCCATCTTCCTCGAGATACTGACACAGACCAGTCAGATTCAGCCGCATCTGCTTCCTGCCTCTTCAGTCCACTTACACCTACCCTGCTGCACATGTCAATTCTACACATTTATTTTGAACTTTGAGAGAACTGCAAGTTACAGGAAAGTACAAACAGTAACATAACTGCATTTAAAATAGAACAGTTACTGTCATAGCTCAAGTTCTCAGCAGGCGAGCCCCTAATCCCACCCCCACAGACCACTGACCCCTCCCCCACACCTGCCCCCACTCCCGTCACTCATGGAAGCTTCACAAGCCCACACTACACCATGCTCAGAGCTTCCTCTGCTGCACTTGGCTCCTTCCTCCTCACTTGTGAGGTCACACACAGCCCTTCTTCCTTTGGGAGCATCTGTGACACCCCCCACCCAGTGGGGACGAGCTCCCGCATGCACCGTCTGCAGCACTGAACACAACAGTGACCTGCTAGCCGAGTAACCAGCGACGCTGTGAGAGCGGCCTGTCTGTCCCCCAGGGCCCGGTGTGCAGATGGAAGTGCTCAATGAACGAAGGAAGACTGGGCGTCACTGGCCCTCCCCACTCACGGGACTGACCTGCTGGCCCCACGCAGCCCTCAGAGACTGGAACCTCTCCACGTTGCCACTGTTGAAGGCGTACAGGGTATCTATCAGCCACTGACGGTCGGTGCCCCTCAGTGACTCCAGCACAGGGTGCATGAGCTGTGGGGACACAGCCAGTCAAGCACAAAAAACACACAGTGGCTGGCCCATGAAGGCTCTGCCCAGCACCCACTTACAAGTTCTCCAAAGTTAAACACTCCTTCGCCGAGAAGGCCCGCCAGCCCCAGTGTGAACGCTCTCTCCTGCTGCTCTGGAGCTGGGAGGACAAGAAGCTCGTCACACCCAGTCACGAGAGCCACCCAGTGCAGTCTTCAAAGTCTCACGTGAAGCAGAGAAACATTCCACGTTCAGGGTGCTTCTATCACAGAGCCCTACAACCAGCCCCTCTTTGAAAGCAGTGGATTGACTCCAATTATAGCCGCAACCATATCTACAAGTTCTGTGGGAGACACAGTCACTTGTTTATTTCTTCCTCGACACATGTACGTCTATATTCCCTGCTGCCTGCTTCCGGGAGCCTGTTACAGGAAGCAGGACCCCCTCATGGGCCTCGCTCTGCCTCCCATCCTCTAACCACGGGCTCTCTTCAAGGGCGGAACACACTGGGGGTTCAAGCCCCTCATAGCTGTGTCCCGAGAGCAAGGTTCTGGGGCGACGTGGCCTCAGGCCCGAGTTACCTGGCAGGTCCCTGATGTCGACGCAGCCCAGGAACCGCAGAGCATCCTTGTAATAGGACGCATGGTTCCCGATGGTCTGATAGTATTTGCTGGAGAGATCGTAGAAACGGCTGTGAACTGACGTCACACCAGGGAGGTTGTGCAGCATCTCCTCCACGTCTTCAATGGTTTCCTGCACACAGGAAGCAAGGCCACCTTTCTTTTTAACTTGAAACAGTTTAAAGTAATATGTGACCAGAGGAAAAGCACAATAAGTTTGACTACACTGAAATGAAAAATTTCAGTTCATCCAAAACAGAAAAAAAAAAAAAAGGGGAAATGACAGTTCTGGCACATGTAACCCACAGGGAATAAGACCAATGAGGACCTGTCACAAACCAACAGGAGCCAAGTGACACAGAGAACAGGCACAAGGAAACTTATTAACAGGCAACTGACAGAAGTGGAGACATGGAGAGGTCAACAAGCAGTCATTGAGAAATGTAAACTGCACCCCCAACAAGACTCCATTTCGTCTGTTAGATCGGCAAGAATGAAACATTCTGAAATAATGGGCTGTCAGAAAAGTCATGATGTATTTTTCTGTTTTCCGTTGCAAGAATGCATCATGACTCTTCCGACAACCCAATACTAAGTAGCAATGCAAACACACGTGCATTGGGAGTCCTGGTGTGGGTGTGGTGGGAGTGTGAGCCACCTCGGAGAAACAGCTGGTAAAGGAGGACAGCACACGCCACACGCCTGTAATCTCACACAGGTCAGGTTCTGCCCACATACACTAGGAGTCAGGCATAGAAATGCTAAGAGCACTGTTTGTAATAGAAAAACAAGCCTTAATCCCCTCACTGGGACCCGGATACACAGGCTATGGAGTATTTACAGTGAGGTGCCACGTAACGGCACAAACAGGGCAGTACCCAGCCAGCAGGTCAAAGCAATGCTGCGCCATTTGGAGCTCTGCACCCCTGGCTGGTGAGGCCCAGGTGAGCTGAGCGCCTGCCTGAGCAAAAGGGGGCCACGCTGGGGGAGTGGCCCCGTAGCTCCAACTGCTGGGTGCTGCCTCACCCCAAGCTGTTTGGGGCACCCGGGTGCCCAGCAGCATCCCTTACACTGTCTTATAGCTTTCAGCATGTCTTAAATATTTCTAAACAAAATGCAGTGAGTACGTGGGTGACCGAGACAGGGTGCAGTAAGTATGCGTGTGGCTCAGACACTGTAAGTTATTACTATTTTTTTAAAGGTTCCATTGGGGAACTGGGGGAGGGGAACAGCGCTGGGGAATCAGGGAAGGGGAACAGACAAGTTGTTTTCCCCTTGTTCCTCAGTCTAGCAGTTGAGGACATCGCTTCACTGGCCCTTGTTGGTA